TGGTTGAGATGCTTGCTAGTTGAGATCCCTTTATGGGAAAAACCTATGCCAGCTGTGTTGATCCACTGCGATAGTACCGCGGCTATTGCAAAAATTGAGAATCTTTATTATAATGGTAAAAGACGTCAAATAAGAAGGAAGCACATCAATGTTAGAGACTGTATTTCTAAAGGAGCTATAAGAGTGGATCATATACGCACTGAAAATTTAACAGATCCTTTGACGAAAGGATTAGCTAGAGATAAAGTCCATAATACATCCAAAAGGATGGGACTAATGCCTATAAATAAATGAGTTGCTCATAATGGTAACCCGACCTAGATGACTGGAGATCCCAAGAAATAGGTTCAATGGGTAATAACAAGTTATGAGTAATATGAGATGATCATGCAAATAAAGCATGAATCCTGAAGTAATAAGAGGACGAGGTAATAAAAGTACTTAATGAGATCTATACTCTATATGAGGGAATACATAGGCTACAGGAGTACTCTTGATAGACTCACCTTTGTGATTGTGGAACTTGGGTCGGTTCCTATGGAATTACGAGGCAGGATTCCTAGAGCCTTCACTAAACCGGGATATACGTGCAGGGCCATTAAAGCACAGGCTATTAGAATACACCTTAAGAAAAGGTTGTGTGCGGGTCTGATGTTTGAGATAGAGTTCAAGACAATAGTGTCACTCTTGTTGAATCAGAATCCTACTTGCTACGCAAAGGTTCAAGTCGTAGACACCTTTGCTTATGCACAATCTTAGAAACGTTTGACGTACTTCTAAAATCACCTTTTTAAATTCAAGTGGGGGATTGTTGGAAATCTTGGTATGATGTAAATTTGGAGTGGAAGTTGGAATGCTTTATTGACATTAAATGGGCAATAAATAAGCACAAGTAAGAACTAGTATGGAAGTGAATTTGAAAAGATTCATTTTAGTCCCACATAGGAGGGATTATAAATACTAGTAGTGTATATATATTCCAACTTGGCCAATTGGGTTGGGCCCCAAGGGGCACCCCAATTTTGTAAAGGAGTGAGGACACACCAATAAGTCATCTAGAAACACGTGCGCATGCCGCCGCCGCTGTCCGTCCGGCCGGCTCGGCTCGGTTGGGTTCGGTTTAGTTCGGTCTAGATGAATTAATCTTTTTGAACCGAATTAGTGGAAATTAATTAATATTAATATTATTAATTAATTAAGAGATGGTGATGTGTCCTGCACAAAAGACCAAGTCTTAACCTAATTAGTGACTGGTTTTTGCTTGCCCTCCAAGAGTCCGTGAGACTTGCTGACCAAGTAAAATAACGACCACCTTTGACTGGGCCAATTCCACCTTCTCCCACGATTTTCTCCCACTAGACTTGTTCCATTCAGTTGGACTTTTTTCTTATAAATTGAATTGTTTCGGTTCATTTGATATGTTCCAGAATTTACTACTACAATTCTCTCTTCTCTCTCTCTACTCCCTTCATCTAAATTTTTTTCTTCTCTCTTAATTTCGACTGGATCTATCCAGATACTAAGACTGGTTAACTACCATCCAAAGGTGTCATTTTACGAACGACTAATTACAGTGCAAGTAATTGTCGTACTTTGAACGGGTTGTTTTATCTTGGAGGCGTTGTCGAAACTCGACTGCTTTGCATTATTATTGGTAGTACGACGAAACGTCTTAAAGAAAGCGACCTAGTACGCGAATCGTCCTGATAGTTTTCCTTTGTGCCATTTTTTTAAATTCGGATCTTACAATTTCCTCTGGTCTTCATATCATCATTGTCGGCTTGAAGAACCACCAGATTTTCTCCAGTCAGTAAGCTTCTTACTCTTCTTGTGATGTCTTTTAATTGTATGCATTAATTTGAAGTTGGAGATGTGAGGAAAGGTACCAGAATTGAATCTGAAGCACAGAGTGAATTGGAGGGAAACTTCGTCGGGGACGGAGGCGCTAACGACTGGAGATGGAGACAGATGCGAAGAGAGAGAGAGACGGAGAAATGTGAGTTAAGGTTGAAGGTTGGACTAAGGTCGAAGATGTTGAGAACCGAACCGGAGATGGTTGAGAACAATGCCAGATTTGAGAAGAGAGGGAGTTTTATTGTTACAAGAAGAAGAAGACACAAGACGGACCCTAATTCCCTTTTATATTTGACTTTTTTTATCATTTTATTTGTTTTTTTTAATAAAGTATGTATAATAATAAAACAAATAAGTGAAATACAATTTAGATGTTTTATTGGTTTAATGGACCGATCACACCTCTTGGGCCGAGTTGCATACCCTTTTTGGTAGCATGATGGAAAAAATAATTATAAAAGTTTGGTAAAAAAAGAGAGGATGGTTATGGACATTAGTGAATGGGCCTTAGAGCCAGCTTACTACATCATAGTCCCTGATTCAGCTTAGCACCCCATTGATCATCTTATTTTCTTTGTTAGATGTAGGGCTTACTTTTTAATTTTTCTATATTTTTTTATGATAAAAAATTATAAAATCAATGAAAATTTGTTACATTTTTTTATTTGATTTTAAACAATCGGCTGAATAAATCATCAAGATAAAATCGATGAAGTCGCCATCGAACATTTTTTATCTCACAGGAAGGGAAAGGTAAACATCGAGAAAACCTGTGAAGGGTGAAATCAAGGTTAAACGACCGAGAGATCGGATAAGGGAGTCAGTTATGTGAGGGGAATGTATTAACACCTCACACGCCCGTAGTACTCGACGGTATCCACTCATGTTGTTCTAATCAAAGGGTGTGTTCCAATCTAATGCTTAAGTGCTAAAAGAAAATGAAAAGAGAGAATGCATGCAAAATAAAACATAAAATAATGTAGGGAAAATAAAGTTGTGCTTGTTCGGGCCCTACCCAATGCCTATGTATCCATTTTAAGTAATCAAAACCTTCGTAGTTCAGCTCAAAAGTTTTTGTTGGTTTGTATTTTTTAATGAACAATATTAATTTCTCCTTCTACCACATCTCGACCTTTGGAGACTTACGCGTCAGCACATACGTGAATTACCATTTTCTTTTTAAAATGTTTGAAAGAAAAGCCCGAAGGCGCAAAAGAGTTTGTATTGGTTGATACCTTTTACCTTAAAGAAGGATTTAAAAATGGTTAAATGTTTTATGCTCTTTTCAAGAAAAATGAGTTTTAGTCTTAATGCAAGGATGCAAAAGAAAGAAAAAACATCTAAGGGAGACTATCCTAAATCTACCCCTAATGTTATCATACAATGATTGACCCTAATGTTGAGTTTTGAAAGGGAAATCTCTAACCTATGTTAGCATGCATAGATACCTATCATAATGTCTAGCTTGAAAGCTACTCTAATCGAGTGATCATAAGGGAAACATGATATAGAAAACAAATAAGCAAACGAGCGCTTTGGCAAAAGCACACAAATATAAGTATCACATACTGACTCAAAGGGATGGGGAAACAAGAGAAATGTTTTAGCTGAGAGGAGTGGATCACCCGAAGCAAACAAGCGGGAGACAAATGAAATAAAAAAGAAAAGAAATGCTTTAGTTAAGGGGAGCGGATCACCCGAAGCAAACAAATGGGTAGCAGAGTATCAACAATGGCCATTGCGAACTCTTGACAAAGTGTGGGGGTTGGTTGCAAACCCTTCTCTACATGATCGACTTGATACACAAGATCTGCATAACTCTGAAGCACCGACTTACAACGTGAGCTAAGGATGACACATACTAGAATGTACGGGGGTCGATTATGGACCCTCCCCGCTTGCCTCCTTTTGAGGACTTATCATCTGTAATATAAGGCTAGCAAAATGTAAACACATGTGCAGAATACCTACTTCAAAGATAGGATTTTAAACAAACATATATAGCATACAAAAAGCGGTGCCTGCTACCGAACTTTAAACAGCAACTTAGAGCGCACACTCTTTATTTCCTACTTCTCATGATATCTAGAAAGAAATAAAATTCATACTTCTCATGATATCTAGAAAAGCGGTAAAGTACGGAAATGAGATAAACAAGGGAAAATACCAAACAAATATCAATCCGTAGCAAAGCGTATCAAAACAAAGAAACCTAACGATCTTCGCGAAAGCTAGCATCCACAACAAGAGACTAGTCAGAAATCGGCAATGTGAAAATAAATCACATGCGCAATCTGTGCATCAGGAGCATTTGTATCACAAACAATACACCTACACGAGAATTCACAATCCAGACAAAAACACAAGCAAAATATATTTCTCATGTGATGACAATCAAGATAAATTGCGTTGGAAGCGAATCTCAAATCCACAAATAAAGTGGAATGCAAATACTTTTTAATTGAAATAAACGATCGAAAGTTCCTCTTGAAATGTCTTGCACATGTCAACAAATGAGTCAGAAATAACAAGGAAATGATAATCGAAGTTTAAGCATCTACTAATTAATTTCTAAAACCAATAAAAAATCTAACAAATTTTTATTGCTTTTATGATTTTTTGTCATGAGAAAATAGAACAAATCGAAACAATTAACAACTTTATTCAACAAAATTTGCAAATTAAAAAAAGGCCGAGGGGGTACAAACTGTACACAATGCTACTACATAGCAATTCCGGTTCTAAGCCCAGTCCATGAAGTGTTTTTGTTACAAAAACGGGATCAAGAGGGAGTTTGTTTTTGTTTGGATTCAAAAAAAAGGGACCAAAGAGGCTCAATCTAACGCGTGGCACAAATTAACGCTGGGGTATGATGAAGTACACCGTTCAGGCCCAACCCAGTCTATTTGATTCTCAGATTTTATCAAGAGTAATAAAAACGAAAAGAAAAATTAAAAGTAAAAAGAGTTAAAAATTGTGCGTTCAAACAGGTTTATATGACATTCCACCTTTTTTGAAGTTCAGAACTACCCCATCTCTAACCCTCGTGTCTTTCTCTCAGCTCAACCTTCGCCACCATGCCGACTGCGGCGGTGACATTAAATTGAACACACCATCACTTGTGGTTTTCTCCTTCGAATCACAATCTATGCTTCATTTATCCCGATCTTCCTCCAACTTCTTAATTTAACAAGCAACGAACCTTGTCGGAGTCGCTCCAACGACTCTTCAACCATGGCGTTAACAAAAAAGGTCCAGAGAACTCTGAGAGAATGAAAGTAATAGTAAGCTTCTACACTTTCCATTTCTTCTTCGTTAAACTTTTTCTTCTTCTTCTTCTTCGTCCTACTCCATCCCTTCTTTCTCTTCTGCGAACTTCTTGTTATGTCCTTCTTCAGTGTTGTTTCTATGTTCTTTGTTTGTTGTATGCTCGAGTAATAGAGTGATAGATCGAGACAAAAGGCGAGAGGTTGATTTATAGAAGCTCTACCGGAGCAACTCCGGTGGCTCTTGTTTGGTGAAGAAAGAGACATTGATGCAATTTTATGGTAATAACTTCAATCTCGTGTGTTCTTAATTATGTGATTTCTCCTCCGATTTCTTTTCTGTTTGTGTTATGATGATGCGTTGATGTTGAAACTACAGATTGTTGATGCAATTGATTGAATATGCGTGATGCAGTGGTTGTTGTCGTTGTCTCGAGAAGCAAGTTGATGGAATAGCATTGTTGCAAAAGTAGATCGAAGTTGTTGAAGAATTGCGAAGAAGTGTGATGATGAAGATTGAAGAGGTTGTGGATTCGCGTTGAATGTGCAAAAACTGACGCGTGAAGTTTTGTTCAGAGGTCGATGATGATTGAGGAGAGTGAAGCCGTTCGAAGAGTATGATGCAGTTCAGAGAGAACTCAAAATTTTTGTGAAGTTTCTGTGGTGATTCTCCGGATTTTGTGTGATTCTTCAAGGTGAAGCATGACGAGGATGCATATGAGAGAATAAGAGATTGTTTGGAGTGTTTTTTCTGTGGAAATGAAGAATGAAAAAATTCTGGTGAGTTTTATGTTTTTATTTTGTTATATTGGAGATGGTTAGAGTTGTTAGAGGAAGTTAGAAAACAGTTAGGAGGTTAGTTAAATTTTGTTAGTTCTGTTAGGATGAGCTGGAAATTCATTCTGTTATTGAGTTACTCGGGTTAAAAAATTCTGTTAGGGTGAAAGTTAGTTACTGTGTTAGAAAAAAAAGTCAGTTAGCAAGTTGGTTGAATAGGCTTAGGTTGAGCAATTAGTTTGCTGGTTTTCTGTTGCAAACTGATATGCCTCCTGTTTTTCGCTAATTCCCTGATTTTTTATTCACGCTTTTTCTTGTTTCCTCGTTTCCTTTTATATCTTCTCTAATTTTCCTGTGCATTGAGTTATTGTGATATAGATTGGTAGAATTTTTCTGCAGGATAACATGGTGAACTGATGTGGGTAAACTGGTTTACGGATTAATCACAGATGCTGAGATGTTTTTTTTGTGATGATGAATAGCAGACTGTTTTGGTATTTTTCCATAGGGGTTACACGTGAATTAATGGTTAATTGTTTGGATCTGGTTTGTGTATAACTGATACATGCTGGTTTATTTACTGGTTATATGCAGGTTTTATTATGGCTGAAGCATAGAGTCGCAACAGGCCTATTGCAGATGATTGAAACATGTTGAATGGTTGTTTTGATGGCGTGTGATTTGCTAATAGCTCATGATTACGAAAAAACCTTGGCATGAGTACACAGGCCTGTAACACGAGGTACCAGATACTGATTCTTTTTGTGATCTTCTTTCTGTTTGTCCAAAACAGATGCAGGGTCATTACAATTTGCTTTTTTAAAACTGCCTTCTTCTTCTTCTTCTTTGATGAACTTGAGCTGGATGTTGGTTGATCAGGATTGCAAGTTAGCAAGGTTTTTGTTTGTTAACCCATTTTTTGTTTGGAATTTGCGACAGGGTTGGTTTTAATTTTGGTTAACAAGTGGTGATGTTGGCATGATTTGTTGATGTCAAAGTTGTAGCTTGAAGACACTTGAAGTTGGAGCATAGATAATCGCAAGCATGAAGACAATTTTCACATGTTCTTTAAACATTGCATCACTGTTTGTAATAGCCTTTAGAATGTATTTTGGATACAACTTGTAATAGACTTTGAATGTGGTAACTTGTAATAAGAACTTCTTGAATGTTTAGTCTTTCTTTTTGAATGAAATGTGTAATGAACATGAATTTTTGTTAATGATGAACTTTTCCTTTTTTTTGGAGGATGAACAAAGAGGAATTTGAATTAAACTTGAAATGTCGGGTGATGAAATTTATGACGGAGTTTAAATGACAAAGTATTGAAAGTTTAACTTTAAAGGAATTATGGTAAAAATGCTTGAAGCCATGAAAGCATCAAATTTTCTTGTAAGGTGTTGTTACACTTGAATGAAATTGAATGGAATTGGATAGAATTTGTTTGAATCATGAATGAAAGGTTTTGAATAAACTTTGAATTCATATGAACTTGAATCTTGAATAATAATGAACATCTTTGTAATACGAATGAACTTCGACTTGAAACAAGATCTTGCAATTTGTACCTTACCTTCCAAGAAATTCACACGACCAATACTTAAGGCTCTTTGCCAACTTTGATCCAATCAACCACCTTCGACATTTCGAACATCTTGAATTCAAATCAAACTTCAAATCCAAATCGCACTTACGTTCTCAATGAACTCCTAACTTCAATCTTAATTCAACTAACAATGACGAGATTGCCTTGATGAAGAATGAACCCGCAATTTCATATCTTGTGCCATGGCTCAACACGGCTAAGAAATTAGATCAAAAATGATATTATGTCAAGTTATGTGAAAGATGGCAAAATGCAAGGCAAGTCATGGCACAAATGCGAGTTATGCATCATTATGCCAAGGAAATGCAAGGCATGATTTTCTATTTCACGAAGCATCAATAAGTTTGTTCAATAAAAGTTTGCAAGATCCAAGCATTGCATTCATGAGATATCAACCAATTTCAATTCCTTGCCTTTGATGCTCATAGTTCACACAACATATGAGTGGAAATGTGCATCAAAAATGTTTATGCAAAGGCCTAAAGTCAAGTCATTTCTAGTTTATTCCTAAGGTTATGTTTAGAGTTAGTTATGCTTAGAGTTAGTTTTCAATTCTCTACCAAAACTATACACAAACTCCTAATTTCAAGAACCTAACTAAAATCAAGAATGTACTAAATCCTAATGCAAATGTTAGTAACTACACTAACACTAACTCCTAAGGGGAATTATAACAGACACCTAGTGTGCCCTAACCAAACTAACATAAACTATGCTAATTCTAAATTCCTAATCCTTTTGCACCAAACTTCAAACACTTAGTCTGCAAAAGTTGTTATAGGTTCTACATGAGGCAAGATCAACAACTCTAATCAATCAATTCAACCACCCACTAGAACAACCACAAAATCAACTCAAATTCAACAACAATAAAATCAATATCAAGACTCAAAATAGAGGAAGCTTATGTAATACCTTTAAGGAGTTGATACAAATGATGATGGAGATGAAGTTGTTGATGTATGATGTGATGATGAAGAGGTTGTGTTTTTCGAGATGATGATGGTTAGATGAAGAGGAGGATGCAGGTTTTGTGTGCGACGGAGAGAGTTGGCGGAAGTAACAGAGGGAGTATCACCGTGAGCGAGGCGCGATAGAGGAGGAAATTGGACGGAGTTTCTCCCGGCGGAGGGACGACGTGGAGGCCGGAGCTAGGTGGTGGTTAGCGGGAGGGAGGGTGAAAGTTTTTTTTGTTATAGAGAGAGTTGAGAGAATATGAGAGAAGAGAGAGTGAAAATGGGAAGAGTCGACTTTTTTTCTTTCAGTTTTTGGGGAAAATTCAAATATATAGTAATTCAAAATAAAATGAATTTTCAACTTATTCCCGGCTTAAGTGAAAATTACATTATCATCCATAAAACTTTCCAAACGCGAACCTCCTGTAAAAATATGCGCCTCTAAGCTACGAAAACAACCCAAAAAAAATGGACGTTTTCTGACAAAAATCGAGTGAGTTCGATACGTTTAAGCGGCGAGACGTCACTGTCAAAAATTAATTAAGTCAAAATATCAGCTTATTTGATCTTTGCTACTCGGAAACGTCACAAGGTCATGTCTAAAAAATAAGAATTCTGATTCGGCTTTGCCAGGAAAATGTGCATCTCTGAGCCCTTGAAGTTATATAAAAAATGAGAGTCGTCTGATAAACGGTTGATTTTTCATGAATTTTACAATGCAGTGACGTTCAATCTTTTTTTGTAGGTACGAACAACTCCGTTTTGTGAAATAAACCAACAATGGAGGTCTTCAGGCTACTGTTCGGCTTGGCAACATGAAACAGAATTGAAGTAGACAAAATTAGAAAACCAAAGCTTCGAGAACTGGCGCGACTCGGTAAAAAATGACCGAGAAATGAATATTTGAATATTGGAAACCGAACAGATAGATACCAAATGATTTCTTAGTAATTTGCAATTTACGCAGCTTTCCTCAAATCATCAGCTCTCACCCCTGGACGTCCATCATGAGGATATCAAGACAGAATTTTAGACACCAAAACCACGCACATACAGTACTCGATCCAGGAGATATGAATTTTTTAATGATGTAAATTGGAGAGAATATTGGTGCTGATTTAATGATGTAAAAATCACCTCGAAACGGTATATGAGATCGGAGTTAAAAATTTCTGAATGCCCGAAACACCGTTGATCGGTAACCTGAAAACTCAGTAATAACATTATTTGACCGCCTTCTGCACATAATTGGCTCCCCGCCAGAACACAAAAGTGAAGATAATATCAACACGGAATTGGTTATCAAATTTCAGCCTAAAAAGTACTCTGGCTCGCAGTTAGAAAATCATGAAGTTGACACACCGAAACAGATTTTTAACCCGAACTGTTCTGAATCAAATCAAACCCTCTGGTTCCTTTATATTGCCCAAGACATTAGAAAACACACGGGAATAGAACATGGTGATAAATCGTTCCTCAACTGATTGAATTGCATGCACAAAGCCTTTGACGCTTCTGATAAATAGTCGATGCTTTACCGGCATACCTTGTTCCTATAGCAACATAACCAATGTATCCATCCATATGCAGATGAAATCAAGAGGGTAAGTTTTGGGGTGCACAGAGGAGAATTCCAAACTGCATGAACATAAGGAACATGCTGATTTTGATTAACCAACTGATCTCCCCAACTTGTAAACGGCTGCTGGCGAGAACTTTCTGGGAGTATAGGTTATGGATGATGTGACTCAGGTCGTGAGATTGAACTTTGGAGAGGAGAAGGCGTAACCCTATTCTCTGTAGCAGTTGGCATAGGATTGATCTGCATGCTCAGACCTTTGAGAGTGAAGAGAATTTTCTCTACATCAAGCAAATCCTGGACTTGGTGCTTAAAAGCTATGCAATCTTCAGTATCATGACCAGGTGCCCCAGAATGAAATTCACACCTAGCACTATCGTCAAAGCCACACGGGAGTCTTTCGAGCATAGTTAAGATTTAGAGTTTAACCAAATGAAATCCTAACATGCGAGGAAGCAATTGTGCGTACAGTATTAGAATAGGATCAAATTGTCGTTCGGGCTGTTTTGGCCTCTGCTGATGAACTTTGCCCTTTGGTTCTTCTTGGGAAACGACAACTGGTTATAGATGGGAAGATCCTGGAACGCAAGGCCGTGGAGGAGATACTCCCTAACTTGAAAGAGTCCCCAGATTATGGGGAGGAATGGTAACTTCTATTGCAGCAGGTATAGAACCATCTTCTTTCTTCAACATTATCCCCAAAATTTCCATAACCAAACTCAACTGAGCCTTCAACTAAGTCTTCTCCTCTCTCAGGATTTCTTGCTCACAGACTAAATCCTACATGTCTAGCATAAAAAAAACCCATATGTTCTTTCATCTCGTCTAATTCCCCATGAAGTTGTTCCATATCTTGAATCTGATCACGGAGCGACGAGAAGTCAAGATTTTCACTTCTGAAAAGAAAATACCGAGTATGAATAAAGATTCCCCATTCTGAGTACCTGCTATGGATGCATGAAAATGCATGAAGATGCATGAATATGCATAAAGATGCATGAAGTGAATGAGCAGATACAATACCATGTTCAAACATTTTCAAGGAACCTGCATGCTTTTAATTTTGATTTTGATCCAATAAAATATGGGTAAACACAACATAATGTTCACAAGCATGATTCCTTAGAAATGGAAAGAACATATGTGTTAACTTTTTTCATGTATACAATTTTTCACATTTCTTTGTTTTTTTGTGTAAAATAAATATGCTATGATGTTAAAACAACCAAGCTGAACCCTCACCCGATATAATATATGAAATATCAATGAAGTAGCCACCGAACGTCTTTTATCCCGCCGAGAGGGGAAAGATAAACATCGAGAAAACATGAAGATGGTGAAATCACGGTCTTGCAACCGAGAGATCGGGTAAGGGAGTATGTTACGTGAGGGGAATGTATTAGCACCCCACACACTCGTAGTACTCTACAGTATCCACTCTTGTTGTCTAATCTAATGAGTGTGTAAAATCTATGTCTAGGCTGTACGGGGAATGCATGCAAAATAAAAGAGAAAATGAATGTAGGGAAAATAAAAGTTGTGCTCGCTCGGGCCCTACCCTAATGCCTACTGTAGCG